AATCATCTGTAATACTTTCAAGATGGCTGCAGGGAAACCCATTTCCACTAGCTTAGTGGCATATCCTTAAACCTGGATCCAGCTCATTATTTTGTGGAGTTGCTTTCATGCATTTGTGTACACAGTACACTTTCCCAATGTGAGACTTCCAGATGGCCCTGATGAAGAGGGATGCGAACTATCACCTTGTAAAGTCTAATAACCCACACCAGGTAGCAGATATCTGGTTTATAGGACTGTAGCCTTAGCATGTGAAAGCAGCTTTAAATTAATATACAAAATACAAGAGAGCTTTTTTTGTGAGCAAATGCAGGTATGTTTGGTTGTAATTTTTAAAAACTTTATTTAATGAAAAATATAATACACGGAAACATGGTGTTTTTCATCTGCACACAAACAATGAAACCACATGGTATTTTACAAATAGCTGATATAGCTGTTTAAGATATATTTATTGCTACGCTACCATGAATTGAGGGAAAACTATGACATGAAGAGGTTAATACAATAAAGTTGCTCAGATTCAAGTAATCGGCTCTTGGCATGGGAAAGTTGAACTATTTAAATCATTATTCCCAGTATTGCTTTATAGCTGTAGTGCAAACAATATTTTATTAGGCCAGCAAACCTCATTACTAAACCAATCTTACGGTTTTAAATGGTCCTTTAAAAAAAGGATTAGTTGAATATGGATAGCCCCACAACCCAGCATTAGTGCAGACTAACCTGGTCCTCTACAGCTAAATGTAACATCAAAACACTCACTCTTTATTAAAGACTGTTTAAGAACAGCTCCAAGAGTCCTGGTTCAGCACTTCAGTGGTGAAGAATTAGCTAACAAGCGCAAGAATTATTGTCACCACACCTGCAAACAAGCTACAAGTCACAAACTAAAGAACCCAAGTCATACTTAAATACTTTACATGCACCAGTGTTTTGCACAAAGTCTCTCAGCAGCACAACATTAGGGGCAGCGCTTGTCGGTTTGCTTTCTGAAAGATATGTGGGGAGGTGTCAAGAGAGAGAATAGTGTTTTCAGGCAACATGGAGCATATATAGCCCATTGATACTGATGGTTCTGACAGGGAAGGAGACCAGCTGTGCGCCATACTACAAGATCAAGGAACTCTGGCCCAACAGATGTTGTTGGACTTCACCTTCTGTCAGTACAATTAAGCCAGCTTGTTCTGCAAGTCACTCAGTTTTAATTACACACAGTGTCCCAAACACTGGCAAAAATCCAGTCCATAACTCCAGCTGGAGAGGACCTACTGAATCAACTGCTGAATGATGCTGCAATAAGTTACATTATTTATGAAAAAAAAAACAAACCATAGACACATACAGATTCCATGGATTACCAAGTAGATTGGAACTAGTGCCACTGTGGAACAATGAGAATAATTTACCTAATATAAAATTATATGATATAGCTAATCAAATGAGAAACATGGTGGATATTTTAACACAATCCAATAAGTTAACATGGTCAAGTTTGGAGTTTCAAGAGGTTGGTAACAACCCAGAAAATATTTTTTTCAACAAAATATTAGTATTGTACAGAAGATTGAATATCCCTTTTTAAAGAACATGATGCAAATCTGGAATATAGAAGAATATTTATCCCACCAATTTTCCCACTACACCCTGTAACAGAGTTACAGACATTGCTAGGGAATTTGAAAAGAAGTTTGGAAAATATATTAAGGAGGAAACAGGTTATTAGAATAAAAGTTTGGATGGAAAGGATGGGTACTAAAGAGCAAATAATAGAAGTGGGAGGAAGGGAAGAGTTGCCATGGATTATTGTTATCCAGCTGGAGTGTTGGACTAAAGAACGGTAAAAAGAAATGGTAAATGTAGGGAGCTTACAAAATTGGAAAAAAATGGCATTACAGAGTGAAAAGGAAAATGGATGTAAGAGAATGAAGAGGACAATAAGTAAAATTTACAAAAAAGTAACAGAAGTAGAGGATCAAGATGAAGTTTTAAAGATGTTGTGGGAAACAGATTTGGGAGAGGAAATTTGTACTGAGAAATGGAATAAAATATGGAATATAAAATGTATGTCTGTAAGAATAATGTATATATATATAAATTGGTTTGGAGATGGTACTTAACACCAGTGAAACTGAATTATATGGATAAAAAGTACAGTATTCCAAAATGTGTTGGAGATGTAAGCAAGAAGTGGGAACCTACTTCCGTATGCGGTGGGAATGCAAATATATAATTAAATTTTGGAAGTTGGTTTTCAAAGAAATAAGCAAACATTGTTGTTGTTTAGTCATGTCCGACTCTTCGTGACCCCATGGACCAGAGCACACCAGGCCCTCCTATCTTCCACTGCCTCCCAGAGTTTGGTCAAATTCATGTTGGTAGCTTCGATGACACTGTCCATTCATCTCTGTTGTCCCCTTCTCCTTTTTGCTTCACATTTTCCCAATATCAGGGTCTTTTCCAGGGAGTCTTGTCTTCTCATGAAATGGCCAAAGTATTGGAGCCTCTGCTTCAGGATTTGTCCTTCCAGTGAGCACTCAGGGTTGATTTCATTCAGAATGGATAGGTTTGTTCTCCTTGCAGTCCAGGAGATTCTCAAGAGTCTCCTCCAGCACGTCAATTCAAAAGCATCAACTCTTTGGTGGTTAGCCTTCTTTATGGTCCAGATCTCACTTCCATACATCACTACTGGAAAAAACATAGCTTTGACTATGCGGACCTTTGTTGGCAAGGTGATGTCTCTGCTTTTTAAGATGCTGTCAAGATTTGTCATCGCTTTCCTCCCAAGAAGCTGCCGTCTTTTAATTTCGTGGCTGCTGTCACCATCTGCAGTGATAATGGAGCCCAAGAAGGTAAAATCTGTCACTGCCTCCATATCTTCCCCTTCTATTTGCCAGGAGGTCATGGGATCAGTAGCCATGATCTTAGTTTTTTTGATGTTGAGCTTCAGACCATTTTATGCACTCTCCTCTTTCACCCTCATTACAAGGTTCCTTAATTCCTCCTCACTTTCCGCCATCAGAGTGGTATCATCTGCATATCTGGGGTTGTTGGTATTTCTTCCAGCAGTGTTAATTCCGGCTGGGGATTCATCTAGTCCAGCCTTTCACATGATTTATTTTGCATATAATTTAAATAAGCAGGGGGACAATATACAGCCTTGTCGTACGCCTTTCCCAATTTTGAACCAATCAGTTGTTCCATATCCAGTTCTAACTGTTGATTCCTGTCCCACATATAAATTTCTCAGGAGGTAGATAGGGTGGTCAGGCACTCCCATTTCTTTAAGAACTTGCCATAGTTTGCTGTAGTCTACAGTCAAAGGCTTTTGCGTAGTCAATGAAGCAGAAGTAGATGTTTTTCTGGAACTCTCTGGCTTTCTCCATAATCCAGCGCATGTTAGCAATTTGGTCTCTAGTTCCTCTGCCCCTTCGAAATTCTGCTTGTACTTCTGGGAGTTCTCGGTCCACATACTGCTGAAGCCTACCTTGTAGGATTTTGAGCATAACCTTGCAAGTGTGTGACATGAGTCTGAAATAATTAAAATTAAATAAATTTAAATCTAAGAATATGTCCAAAAATAGCAGATGGAACAATGGAAGTCAACAAAGAAAGAACTGATTTTAAATTTAGTAACAGCAGCTAAATGACTAATACCGTGTTTCCCCAAAAATAAGACAGGGTCTTATATTAATTTTTGCTCCAGAAATGTATTAGGGCTTATTTTCAGGGGATGTTCTATTTTTTCATGTACAACAATCTACATTTATTCAAATACAATTATGTCATCTTCTGGTTGCTGCACAATGGCGGAGGGCTGGGTTTCACTTAACTGGGGCTTATTTGGGGGTTGGGCTTATATTACGAGCATCCTGAAAAATCATACTAGGGCTTATTTTCAGGTTTGGTCTTATTTTAGGGGAAACAGGGTAGTAAAGAATTGGAAGGTTAAATGCGATCTCCAACTAAGTGAATGTTATAAAGAAGTGTGGTATATAGCTATTAATGATAAATTAACATGTGAAATTAGAGTAAGAAAAGGAATGTTAATTAAGAATGAGTTTGGGGATGTATCGGGAGAATTTATTGATATTAGAAAGAATAAAGGGGAAGGATTGTGCATGAGTCAATGTATTTTTGGAAGGGGAATAGGGCTCCCTAAAATGGAGGAGTAGATTATCTCCATTGGTCCTGGTGAAGGGGAGTACAAGAAGCGAATATGTAGATTTTTTGCTGTCACTGTTTTTTAATGTTTATTAATTTGAAAATAAATGAAGAAATTAAGAAGAGAAAAAGAAAGAAAGAAAGAAAGAAAGAAAGAAAGAAAGAAAGAAAGAAAGAAAGAAAGAAAGAAAGAAAATAAATTGAAATGGCACACGGGCCAGAGCTGTGCAATGCTGGGCACTTTTATTGCCAACATGTTCTAGTCGAGCTCATCCTCCCTCAGAATGTTAAGTCCTCTGGCCATGAGAGAGGATGCATGGTCTTTCCACACCATCTATATGAATGATACGCACACACCATGGCTCTGTATGGAGGTGGTAGGAGAGAAAATGTGTGCAGGTGTGAATGTGTACAGAGATCACCAAACACTTCTGAAAATGCACTAAGCCTGCCTTTTAAAAACGTGTCTTTAAAGTATTAGTAGCATTTTCACTCTTTAAAAGCATTATTCATCCCAACTGGAATAGACTCACTGAATGAATGGGCCTTGCTATGTCAACACTTCTGTAAGTCCTACAGATGCAATTGGTCTACTTTAGTTGTGACAAGAGTATACGATATAGTTGGAATGTACCATCACTGGCTTCCCTCCACGATACCTATACAGTATTAACTAAACAACCTGTGGTTGTTGGATTACAGAACTTGACATCCGGCTGAATGTATGTATGCACAAAAAGCAAGCACATTATACTGCTCTATCAGCAGTTTGCATTGCTAACCAGAAGCATGGGGCTCAAGTAATGCAGCAAGAGCAACAAACACCATGTTATACATTTGGTTTTAAGAAAAAGGATTTAATTGTGCTTGTTATAGGAGACCTACATTTTAATATCAAACGCTTAATCTTTATCTATTAGAACATATGAAGGGGGTCACAAAATGCTGCTTTCAAGAAGATAGAGCATTAAAATATTTCATTATAATTTTTTTTGCTAAAAAATTACACATCCAACTACAGATATGAACTTGTAGCAATACCGTCATTGTTTCAGGAAAATACATCATAGCTCAGGATCAGTTCAGCTATTTATTTAGGTATGTTTCAGTTGCTTACGATGGTCATTCTAAAATACATTTACCATAAAATGACCTGAACATTGTGCTTCAGAAACAAGTAAAAAGAAAAATTATGGGCACAGAAAGAGAAGGAAGGAGATGATTAGAAATAGTAATTATTTTGTTTCTTTGAGGCTTATTTACAAAAAAAGGGAAGGGGAGAGTTCTCTCTGTTTCAACAATAAATAAGCCAGATTAAAAATAAAACAATGTTCATGCACATTCTAAGGTGAAAACATGCTCGGAACGTATTTACATGGGGCACAGTCCAGAAAGACATATTCCTTTGCAAGCCCCATTTAAATGAATCGGGGCAATTCAACATGCTCTCACACAGCTCCCATTCATTTTTATGGGTCTTGTGCAAGAGACCACCCTAGATGGGATATGCCCAGACCCAGTATTCTCCTGCCAGAACTGTCTACCTAAGAGCAGCTAAAAGTGCATTTTCCCCTCCATCGTTCTTTGCATTGTTCACGTTGATTCAGCCATTCCTTCAGTCTAGCTTCTGTGGGATACATCCTTCCATCTCCACAACTTCTGGCCACCCTTCGTACTTGTTTGTATCTTTGTTGTTTCTAATATGCTACAAAAGATAAAATAATTTTACAATTCATAATATAGCTACAGCAGACATTGTTGCAGCTACACATAATTATTTACTCAGAACATCCATTTATTTAACTTTTCGAGAAAGCTTTCCTTTATGCAACTGACCAAGATGGACAGAGGAGGCAGAGGGCAGAATTTTACATGCATATTAATTACTGACGGTGTTGGTGCAAAAAAGCAGCCCCAGAATAAAGACTATCAGGAACAGACAAAAGGTAGAAGTGAAATCCAACAAAGATACATCCTCTTCAATTTTGAGGCATCTTTTGATAAATATAAAAAGAGTAAGTTAAAAAAAACTTTTGAGTTTACAAACACTTAATATTAAACTGAACCACAAAAATAGCAAGATAAGAACAGCGTGGCCACAATCAAATGGCCAGGACTTCAGTATGAGTCACCAAGCACTCCCTTCTAAATACTCCAGGAAAAAGAGAAGCCACCAAAACCTTGTGCCCCAAGTCCCATCCCCTGTTGAGGATATTATCATGGCTGACAGCATCAAAAACTACTGAGAAGTTCAGCAGAACCAACAGGGGTACCTCACTGTATCTAATCCACCAAATGGAACAATCTGAGCAGTCTTTCCCTCCACCTTCTGGATATACTAGGTTTCTATGTACAAGGAATCTGCTGTTTTTTAAGTGAGAGCATATGAGTTGGAATGTCCCAGTTGCAATGTGCCCATATACAGTGGTGCCTCGCACAACGGGTGCCTCGTAGAGCGATGAATTCGCTCTATGAGGCCGGTTTTGCGATCGCAAATGCGATCGCAAAACGGTGCCTGCATAGGGCGAAAATCGCAGAGCGAAGGTCGGGAAGCAGTTCGCTTACCGACCTTCGCTTTGTGACCTGCCGATCAGCTGTTCGGCGGCTACAAAATGGCCGCCGGAAGCCCCAAAATGGCTGCGCGCAGCGGTTTCGCGCCCTCGTAAAGCGAGGGGAGGGTGCAAAAATGGCTGCTAGCCATCCTGAAGCATCGCTGAACGGTGAGTATTCGGCCCAATTGGAACGCATTAAACCATGTTTAATGCGTTCCAATGGGTTTTTACGTTCCGTTCAACGATGCTTTCACACAGCGAGGGTTAATCCGGAACGGATTAACCTCGCCGTGCGAGGCACCACTGTATATAGCTCATAATATTGCCTCAACGTTTGCTACTATTCTCACCTTATTCTGCTACACACATAAGATTTGGCAGCTACATCAACCATCTCCAGACATTGAGCTGAGCACCAACCTGTTCAAATGGGCTTTTCGTCTTGATCCCTTTTCCACCACAGAAAACCCAGTTGTCTCTGAAGCCAAGATTCATGATGGAAGAGCTTCCTAATTCAGCAACTAGTTTCCTTGCTTCTTCATTGAGCCTTAAATAAAACTTGGAGAAGTTAATATCACACCATAATCATCCTATCTTGCTGAGTAAAATAAACATACTGCTTCATACACTATTTAAATTTTTCTTTTATCTGTGTAAGAAGCACAGTCACAGCTGCCTTTCCATACACCTTTCATTATTCTATGATTTCTGCTATGGGATGCCAGATGCTTGGGAGAACTTCCACACTCTTGAATGAAAAAAAGAGCTTAATCAAAATATCCTTGCATTCACTCTTCTTCCTCCTCCTCGCCCGTGCGCTGTCATCTTCCCCTAAGGTTTAAGTACATGGGTGTGGAGATACAGGGATTTAACCTTTTTCTTTAGCATTTTTATTGCTCAAATGAGATAGAGATGATCTAGGCTTGGACAGCAGGGGAAAACACAATAGAAAGAAATATAGGCTGGATCAGGATTGTATAAATTGCATAACAAACCTTATAATGTGGTGTGTGAAGAACTGTTTCCAGTCTGTGGCCCCCTTCAAATGTGCCAGGCCCCCATCCCAGAGTCCACGTGGCCCCATTAAGAATGACTGATTGCCATAGGTATTTACCATAAATATTCATAATAGTTAACCACACAATGTTAGATCACTACATGGCATTTGAATTATCTTTATACAGTAAATATTCAGAATTTCTGGCTACAGCCCACAATCTTGAAGCTAAAAAAATTTGTTTATAAGGCTCTATCCATTTCCCTCTACAGTTTAAGGAAGCAGCTAAAGGAGATGGGAAGACATTTTCAGGATTTAAGAATAAGTCATACTTGCAACTCACTTCTCCTTCCTACACAATTTTAGCTCCTGTTTCATATTATTCTTTTAAAATCTGGGGTCTCTGCTGCTTGTATCATCTAAATTAAGCACATGAGACACCCAGAGAACATGATTTGTTCTGTAACAATTTGTAAAAGTATTTTACGTATTAAGGATTCTAAAAGTTAGAGTAAATAGAATAATCTCTGTTTCCTAAATACATACTTAGTGGCACCGTCATCATAGGTTGCCATTAGTACAATAGTTCCATCTTGAATTGTCTTCAGGAAGTCAATAAACGGTGCTACATCTAAACGAAAATGGAAACATACACTATTATAACACAATACAACCATAACTGGCAGGTTAACCACACACAACTCTTTTTAGCAATATTAGCTTTGAACAAGGAATTTCATAAAAACACTTTAGCCAAGATTCTTCAATAAAAATCACATAAGCGAAGGCAGCTGTGCAGTGTCTCCCTCCACCCAACCAGTTCTGCATGCTCTCCTTCATGTAACTGGCTGTGCATCTGACTTCACAAGCAATGCATGACTAGTCACACAAAACAAAGCCTACCACACTGAGGAAACACATGTATGACTGTGTTTTCCAGTCACATAAGAGAAAAGGATTCAGGCCATTACAAGAGCAGTTGTGTGAATTAACAATTATTTTACTGTACTTTCAGAATCATTGATAAAATCTGCCTTTGCTAAATTTCAGTACCAATTAAGTATATTCTGAAAGGAATGCTAAAAAAAACAATGTACCTGTGAGATCTGACCACTGCTACTAATATTTGATATGTGAGAAAGATACACATATGTGATGTGACTGACATGACACATGCAATATTAAATCCTTCTACTATGTAAGCTTTCTGCCGTCTTGCTTGTTTGTCAAAGAAGCAAGTCACATTATAAGGTTTCTGGATACTGAGGTATGTTTTAAATCAGTGGTCCCCAACCTTTTCCGAACTGCGGACCGGTTGGGGAGGCAGGGGTGCATGCTCATGCATGCATGGGTGGGCGGGACACACTTGCAAGTGGACTGGGTGCACTCATGCAAGGCATGCTCATGGGTAGGGTGGGCACCTGTGCATGCAGGTGGGCGGGCCGTGCGTGCATGTGGGCGAGTCGTGCGTGCAGGGTGAGTGGGGGGGCTGGAAATTCTGTCTTCAGAATTCTCTGGTCCTGCCAAGGCCACAGACCAGCACTGGGCCGCGGACCAGGGTTTAGGGACCCCTGTTTTAAGTACACGCTAAGAGATGTACTGCTTTCACTTATCATTCTGAGTTGATGTGCATTCCAAATTCCCCTGTGGCTGCGTCCTGCAGAAATGTTTTTTTTTTGTTATTGAGAAAGCAGCTTATAATGATAAACAAATGCACTATTTGTTTAGTAATTTAATAATTTAATAAGGCAGCTTGCAACAAAAGACAAAATTCAATTTCAATTACAAAACACTTTTTTTTAATGGTCGTTATAGGTTTTTCGGGCTGTCTGGCCATTTTCTGAAGGTTTTTCTTCCTAATGTTTCGCTAGTCTCTGTGGCCGGCATCTTCAGAGGACAGGAGTCAGAACTGTCTGTGCTCCTGTGTGTGTGTGTGTGTGTGTGTGTGTGTGTGTGTGTGTGTGTGTGTGTGTGTGTCTGTGTCTGTGTCTGTGT